AACAACACTTAACCATTGTCATTGGATTTTATATTCCATTTAAAATAGCATTTGTAGAGATCTTATTTTTGTTATTGTGACCAGTAAATTTATATCTCTTGTAAAGTAAATTCAAAGCAACTTAAAATTATTTAGGTTAGAGGCATGATTTTTTTTCTCCAGGGAGACTATAACTTAGCATTATTTTCATATATAAATATATACGGAAGCCTTAATCTAATGCTTCACTATGGCACGGAGGGAGCCCTGGGCTCTCAAAGGCTATGCTAGCACAACACAAGTTCTGGCAGGTTCTACCATGTTGGAAAGGTTTTGAGTATGGGCCCAAAAATGAAGTCTATGTCTGTCTTACTAGGAACTAGTGTAGCTAAATTTGGAAAGGCTTGTTACCCTGTTGGCCAGAGGATGATGGCTCTTTGGATCATGGCAACTCTCAAAGAAAGACCATTTTACATATCATATGCAGTCTGTATCTGTAGAAAGGGTATCCAAACTGATAAAATTACAAATCCTTGAAGAATGGAAATATATTGCTCTATGTAATAGTTATTTATCATGTTTATGATATTTATAACTATTAAATGTTATTTTATACAGTAGTTGTTATTTTAGTATGCAATAGAGGCCTTTTCTGATATAAGTAATCTTTATTTTGCCTGTCTCTAGTTTGGATTTTCTCAGTAGGGCATACTTGTGTGTATATTTTTGTTGTTCAGTTGTATCTGTTTGTGACCCCATTTGGAGTTTTCTTTGCAAAGATGCTGGAGGGCTTTGCTATGTCCTTTTCTTTTTTTTTTGCTTTTTGGTGAGGCAATCCAGGTTAAGTGACTTGCCCAAGGTCACATAGCTAGTAAGTGTCAAGTATGTGAGGCTGGATTTGAATTCAGGTCCTCCTGACTCCAGGGTTGATGCTCTATCCACTGCTATTTCCTTTTCCAGCTCATTTTCAAATGAGGAAACTGAGGCAAACAAGGTTAAGGAATTTGCCCAGGGTCACAGGGCCATATTTGAACTCAAGAAGATATCTTTGTGACTTTAGAGCTGGCACTCTATCCACTGTACAAATTTGATGCTGGAAATAAACAAATACATAAATACATACTCACACACACACACACACATATATACGTATGTACATTTATATATGTATGTATATATACTTGATGAATATATGTAGCTATATAAATATATAAAATATAATGAAGCATTGATTTACATAATATCATAGTATTTGTTTATTTAGTAAATATTTATTTAGCAATCTCTACATCCATAGAATTGTGCTAGGAGCTTTAGAGAATACCAAAAAGTAAAAGATAAAGGTCATACACTCACAGAATCACATATTTAGACCATTAGCCCCAATCCCTTTATTGTATTGAGGCCAAGAGATATTAAATGACTTGCCGCAAGGCCACTCTGGTAATAAATGGGATAAGCAGGCTCTGAATTCAGATCTTCTTACTCCAAATCCAGTATTCTTTCCTTTGTACCATTCTGCATCTTTTCTTAATAGAAAGTCAGAAGTTGCTCCAAGAAATATCCATCCATCCTCTAACAATTGTGGAGGATGGAAATCTTATATAATAATTAAATGTTTTATATATATAACAGCTATATGTATATATGTATATACAAATGCAGCTATATATGAGAATTAAAAATGTTGACCTCATTGATATTTACCTTTTCTTTTTAAATTAAGAAGCAAAAACAATGAGATTTGTTCCCCAAATCATTATTCCCCAAAAAGAGATTTTGTTACTACTGTGGTGGTGATAAAGAAAATTAAATAGCCCTATGAAGTCCAAGAAAAATCAGAGGTATATTATTAAACTATGAATACATCTCAGTTTGTATTTACAGGAATTAATGCTAATGATCACCAAGGGCTTAGAAATACAAGTAAAAGAAACCTCCCCAGGTTGCCCCAAACTTTGTAAGCTATCCTTTACCCAAGTTCCTAGCTAGAACATCCTGATCCCCTTTTGAGCTAGAAGTGGCCCCAAACAAGAATGGTCTTTTTCCTTCTAAGCACATGCAAGCTGAATTTATCCCCTACATATTCTTACTTCCTCTAGAATCTGTAACTATAGCTTTGGCTGTGAGTCCAGGCCTGGAGCAGGTATCACTTTGTGGCTCCTCCTTCCCCCCCAAGTATTCCTCCTAAACTTCAGACCTGCAAGTTTATTCACCTTTCCCACCTCAGATCCACAGACTACTGTCCTTATTCTGCTGTTCTCTGGATAAGAAAGATCTTTTATATCTGGCCTCCAAAGATTTCTCTCTCTGAGTTTCAACCTTTATTCAAGACATTCAACAAAAATTTAGCACCTATTGTGTGCAGATCACTGTGCGAGGTGCAGTCAGATATACAAAGTTTAGATAAAGGATAGTCCCTGAACTCACAAATTCTTGACTACTTAGATGGATAAGATACAAACACAGATAGCTATAATGTATAATATTAAATAAGTTCACTAGAAAGTTGCAAAACAATGCTGTGTGAAGTCCAAGAGGAAAGGTTATTGCCAATAGGAGAATCAGGAAAGATGACTCTGTGGAGGAGTGGCATTTGAATTGGGTAGTTCCAGAATGAGGAGGTCTTTGAATGCTTTGACAAGGGACTTGAACTTTATTTACTGACCCCCTAGTAGTTATCTATACCATGAAAAGCAGATGGCTTTGATTGCTGGAGGTGAGCGTGCAAAGTACGATCTTTCTCACTTAGTCTCTGTGTAATGGAGGTTTATAGTGGTTAAAAAGACTTGCTCTGCTAGTTAAGTGTCAGAGGAAGGACTCAATCCAGTAGGCCACAGAGATAAAACTCAAACCTGATTTTGTGTCAGGAGTTCTAGTAATGAGGTTCATAAGGCTAATATGAATTGAAAGATGTAGTCTCAATACAATTCTTCTTAGAAGCATTTAAATACTGTTAGAGCAATTAAAATTTCTATTAATAATGGTCCTAATAGATGTACATTAACATACAGCTGCCATGGAAACTATCTAAGGAGTAATTATCCTATTATACATGATCTTTAAGATTAAAAAAAAGGAGGCACGGCTATTCCTGACACCTTCTATTTTTCTCCCTGGAGCCTTGTTTTTTCCTTTGGGACTATTTGTGCTTCCCTAATTGCTACATGCAGAGGAATGGGAGGAAATTGAAATTTCCCAGGCAGAATAGACAACGCAGTTTTCCAGGAGATGGGCAGGAAACTGGAGGTGATTTGGCTCACTCTCTATGCAATTTGGCCCTCTTCTGCCTACTTTTTGCTGTTTATCACAAAGATCTCATCATGAGAGTAGAATAAAGGTTTCTAATCACTACTGCTCATCTCTGAACTTTGATGGGATTTATTACCATGGTCTTTTCTTCCTTAAATCAACAATTTAACAATTATCTTCTATTTCTTCATCTGTGTAAATGTTTGTAAAACAGACCTCCCCCTGGTCCCTCCCATGTCACCTCTAAGAAGGCCTGGACTGCTTTTCATTTAGTGTGCTTTCCAGGTTCCTTTTCCACTTTTTTGTTCAGAATTGATTAAAAAAAAAGTATTTATCTTTTGTTTTGCACAACCTGTAATTTTAGAATATAGCCTCTAACCAACCCATCAATTGAGTCTGACCAGAAATAAAATATTCCACTTCCATAGTCTTTCCCCTCTTCAGTGAAGTACATTTTCTTATCACTTCTTGGAGGCCTAGCTTCAGAAGTGATTTCTGCAGTGAGGGAAACTCCCTTCAGCTACATATATTGACAACCATCCTGCCCCAGGTAGTCAGAGTGGCCTGGGGTACTAAGAAGTTAAGGAATGGTAGGGACTAGTCGAGGGGCTTTCCAACTCCCAAAGTTCCCTACACACATGAAATCATAGATCTAGCCGCCCTTCTTGTTGTTCAGTCATTTCAGAAACCCCATTTGGGGTTTTCTTGGCAAAGATACTGGGCTGGTTTGCCATTTCTTTCTCCAGTTCACATTACAGATGAGGTAATGATGATTCATTAAGCTCCAACTCAGTGTCAAGCCTCGTGCTAAGCGCTTGGCATACCAAAGAAAGGCAAAGCAGTCCCTGCCTTCAAGGAACTTACAATCTACCAGGTTACTGGTTTATTCTTACATTAGTCCTGTTAAGTTAGGTCATTATCCTTACCCCTCCTCTTTTACAGACAAGGAAATCAAGGTTCAGTCATTTGCCCGGGGGGAGGGGTAACAAAAGCTGGTAAACCTTAGGCTTGGAATTTGAAGCCAGGTTTTTCTCATTCAAGTCCAAAGTCACATGATATATCAAATCAGACCAGGATCGGTTGGTCTCCAACGACTTCAGGCAGGAGTTGGGAGGTCCGGAGCCTGCCCGCCCTTGGGGTGCGGGGGACGACGAGGGGACCCTAGATGCTCACAGGGCATAGAACTGCATGGGGTGGGAGAGGGCTTCCCAACGGTCACGTGGTTCACACCGCCGGCGTAGGGAAGACGGCCGGGAGGGTGCTGGCTGGACGGCCTCCCGAGGCCGGGCTGGGCCGGCAGTGCGGAGCGAGGAGGATGCTCGAGCCGGAGGCGCTCCCGCCGGGGGCTCGGTCGCTAGGTCGAGGCCGCGGGTCCTCGGGTGTCTCGGAAATCCTAGTCGCGATCCCACCTTGCCCGCTCGGACCGCTGGTCGGTCATACAGCCGCAGCGCCTCAGCCCGCCTCCTCGCGGTTCGCCCAGCGCCCCGCGGATTATGTAAGGACCGCCGGCCCCGCCTCGCCGCGCCCCGCCCCTGCCGGCCTCCGAGGGGCGGAGGACGGAGGAGGCGGAGAGAAGCGGGTACCGCCGCCGCCGCCACTGCCGCCGCCGCAGCCAACTTCAGACTATACTGCGAAGCCCGGCCGCAAGAAGCCGGGCCCCGGATCCTCGGTCGCCCGGAGCGGGCCATGGCAGCCGGCGCCCCGCCCCTGAAGCCGACCCCGACGCCGGCCCGACGCTGAGCAGCCGAGCCCGCCGAGCCCCCGATCCGCCGTGCAGTCCCGCGTTAGCCGTCCCTGCCGCCGCCGCGGCTCGGGCTTCTCTGCTCCTACTCCTTTTCCGCACAAGTTTCCGCCGCCTAGAAAAGCAGCCGCGGAAGGACCAGCTAAGGGCCGAGGTCCCGCAGTCCCCGGCCAGCTGGCCATGTGGGGGCGATTCCTGTCCCTGGAGCCAGGCGGCCCCGGCGGAGTCCGCAGCTACCCCACGGGTAAGAACCGAGCGGCCGGGAACGGCCAGGCCCGGGGCGCCCCGCGCGGCTGCCCTGCCCGGCCCTAGCCGGCCGGGCCGAGTGGAGTGCCCCCACCCGCTCTTTCTCACGCTTCGCCCCAGTTCTCTCCATCCCTCCTTCCTCCTCCTCCTCCTCCTCTTCTTCTCCTCCTCCTGTCGGCTTGAGGCTGCACGAGTGACATCTGGCTGGGCCCCTGGACGCATTCTGCTCTCCCCCCGCCCCTGGGGCCAGCGCCCCCGCCTCAGCCTTAACGCCGCCTGCTCCCCCCAAATCTCCAGACCACCCCAACCCCCCAATTCCAGGCTTGGCGGGGCCTCCTCCTGGTTCGGTCGCTGCCTTTGTTGCCCCCTCATTGCCCCATTCTGGGTTGTGGAGTAGATTTTAAAATGATCCTCCCCCAAGAAGGAATTGCGGAAGGGAGAGGAGTTGGGGTGCCCCCAGCCCCCGGCCTGGAAGCGGGGGAAGGGTTCTGCTCTGGGGCTGCTGCAGTGCGGAGGGGGGCGGGAAATGCAGTTAATGGTGTGGCTCTTTGTGGGTGTGTTTCATTTTTTTTGGGGGGGGAACGGCAGAAAGAGCCCCCAGGCTTCTGTAGTCGCCCCTAGCAAGAGGAAGTAACGTCTCCCCTGCGCCTTAGGGAGGCGGGTTCTCTCCGCTTCTCCCCTGGTGGCCGGGAACGGCCGGGTGGTAATTTGAGCCTCCTTATGTCAGGAGGAGGCAGCGAGAAAAAACCGCTATTTCGAGGGCTTGTTTCTGGGGCAGGCGAGGCGGCCCTCAGTGTCAGCGTTTGAAGGGACGTGGAAGTCAATCTGAGAACTGTGCTTTCCCTTCTCCCCTTCTCCTCGTGCCTAAGGGGTTCGCAAGGGGGGCCCTGGGGCCTAAAAAAGCCACCGACCTTGAATCAAGATGTTGGACCCTCTCTTTGCCTCTCTCCGGGATGGATAATAAGGGAGCGAAGTCATTTGTACCTTGCATTCTCTCTTGCTTGCTGCAGGAACTCTTTTGGGTGACTACATGGTACAGGTTTACCGTTTACTTTCTACTTGCTTGTGTCATTTGTGACACTGAATTTTAAGTAGGATCCAAGTTGGAGTTAGCCCCCTAAAAAAGTCTCTTATTGCCATCTAAATTTGGGCAAGCAGTAGATGACTTTGGTCCTGAGCTTCTGTATAGAATGGGTTTGTTGTTTTGCCCACTGCAGGTAAGAGTTTGCAGTAAAACTTCAAGCTTATATTTACAAAATAAAACCTGAAGTATTTGCCTTTCTTTGCAAAATTTAGCCAGGACTAAAACCAGTATGTCAGTTAAATCAGAACTTCAAATAAAATAATTAAAAGTCAGATCAGAAATTTGGGGTGTGGTTTTTTGACAATTATATGTGAGTATTAATACTAAGACAAGAGTTTTGAAAACTATATGCTTTTATTGTTTTGGACATTCATTGTCAAATAATTGTTTGAAACATCCAGAAGCCTTAGATTTCTTGGTTTTACAGACAATATATGGATGAAATAATTATGTTACAGAAGTTGATGTTTTGCTCTAGTGTAGATTGTAGTTGAGGTTCCTGCAGTTCTTTTCAACAATTACCATTTTTTGAAATGTATGTATACCCTAGTATTAGAGAAGACTGTTAATCTGTAAATAATAATGATAGTTATTAATTGCAGATTTACTCGTAGAAGAGTCTCATGCCATCTGGTATGCTTTTTATAACTTAATTTCTTGGGGGAAATAGAGGTTTTTTAATTTTTGTTGTATGTGCATAGTTTCATAGAAATATTGAGTCCATTAAAAATTGTTTTCTACCAGAGAATTACTAGGGTAAAGGGATAGGAGGGTAACACATTTCATGAGATGTGGGAGAAGAAAGGAAGTGACTGATTTTAGTGATGACATTTTAAAATGCCATCAGGTTATACCAGTCCTTGCCAAGGCAGAGATAATGAATGAATAGCAGTTAACTCACATTTATATAGGTTGTCCTGAAACTGTATTATGACTTTTGGGACTTCAAACACTTTTCTCAGGACAGCTCTGTTAAATGGGTTATCCAAATATTATTTCCCTCATTTTACAAATAAGGGAACTCATGATTATATAACTAAATGTAAATGTTTTAACTTTGGTAAAAGTATATGTCTTACTTCAGGGTTTGAATTGATATGCCTGCAAATTGTTCCTTAATTTTGTCAGGAAGACATGTCCCAGCTATTGTAAAATCTAGACTGTGGTATAAGATAATGTAGAAAATATCTGTGAGTAAATAATAATGTGATAGTATATTTTTTCACCTTTTAATTGTCTTCTATTAAGAGGAAAATATTTAATGTCTTCCTTTAAAACAGTTTTTGGTTTTAAGAATAAAACATGGCTTTAAAAATAGGAACAGCTGGTGAAGGTCAAGATATGGTATCAGTATTGATCCATGTAGGAAATTTTTAGAAAAAATGTCTGTTTTAAAAAAATGTTTTAAAAGCAAGCTTTAAAACTGTCCCCCAAACAGGATTTTATTGCAACATCAGTTAGTAGTGTCTGTAGTTTTGATTGCCACCAACCAGACTAAGTAATAACTATAAAGTAAGAAAGAATAAGAGAAAAGGGATTGGAAGATGAAAATGGAAAAAAATAAGACCGCTCTGGTGGGAAATCTAGATCGCTGCCTGAAACTGTCAGTGGTATGTTAGGTTATCCAAACTAATTTTGTAATATTAGGTTAATATTGATTGTTAAAGTGCTTTTCTTTACCAGTTTCTCTCTCTCTCCCTCTCTCTCTCTCTTCCTCTCTCTCTCTCTCTCTCTCTCTCTCTCTCTCTCACACACACACACGCTCTTCACTGGTAAAAAACTGTTGAAATGAAGCACTTGATTCAATTAGAATTGTAGCATTTTAGTAGCATACTGATGTTTAGGTTGCTGTTGTGTCATAAATATTTAGATATATTTTCAAGATTGATATTTGTTCTGGGATGGTATGGTGCTTTTATGGCCATGATTTTATCCCTCAGATAGGTAGATATCTCAATCTCTCCATTTCTCATCTTGTGCCATTCTTATCATAGAATTAGAAGATTCAGAACTAGAGATCATGTAGTCCAGGCAGTTCCCAAACTTTTTGGTCTCAGGACACTTTTTCAAACTATTATTTTAAAAATAAATTTTATGTTTTTTTTTTTTAATATCACCATAGTTTGCTCTAGTATCTCTCCCCCTCCCCTTCTAGATAGCCATCCCAGGTAACAAATGAACAAAAAAAAAAAGAAAAGAAAAAGAAGAGGAAAAAAGAATCACCATAACTGATCACTGCAGTCAGAAAATATATGCAGTATACAACACTTATGCACCTTATACCTGTACGCCTTTATATTCTTAAAAATTGAGAAATTAAAAGAGCTTTTGTTTCTCTGAGTTATATCTATCAATATTTATTGTATTAGAAATTAAAATGGATACATTTAAATATCTGTTAATTCATTTAAAAACAATAAGACTCGAGGCAGCTAGGTGGCGCAGTGGATAGAGCACTGGCCCTGAAGTCAGGAGGACCTGAGTTCAAATGTGGCCTCAGACCAAACACTTGACACTTACTTACTAGCTGTGTGACCCTGGGCAAGTCACTTAACCCCAATTGCCTAAAAAAAAAAAAAGCAGAAAAAACCCCAAAAAACAATAAAACTCTTATCATGTTAACATAAATTACATTTTTATGAAAAATAACTTTTCCAAAACAAAAAAAGAGGAATGACATTGTTTTACATATTTTTGCAATTGGTCTTAATGTGTAGCTTAGTAGAAGACAGTTGAATTCTTTTATCTTGTGTTCTACATTCAGTATATTGAAATATGTTGTTTTGGTTAAAGTATATGAAGAAAATCCAGCCTTATACAGATCTGTATGTAGTTGGAAAAGGGAAGAATATTTAAATAGGCAATTACTGTATAGTATTATAAAATAGTTCTGATCTCATGGACCAACTGAAGGAGTCTCAGGGAGCCCCAGGAATTTGCAGACCAACCTTTGAAAACTACTGATCTTGTCTGAGCCCCTCATTTATAGAAGAGGAAACTGAGACCCCAAGAAGGTAAAGGACTTACCAGGTGTCATAGGTAGCTAGTATTATAGTTGAAGTTGGAACCTACTTCTTCTGATGCCATATCTAGTTCTTTTTTTGCCTACATCCTAGCTCATTTATTTCTATTTATAAATCTTCCATAGATGATCCACCTAATGTGCTAGAGGGCTACCCTTGTGATAAAAATCTTCTTGGTACATATTTATTATTTGGGTTGCCTATATCTTGTCTTATTTTTCCTGTGAGCCTGATCTATTCTCTATTTTCTAATTATACATAGTATTGATGAGGTCTTTTTTCACTCCTGAGGTATCATTGGTAATATTCTGTAGCATATATTGCCTTGTGCATATAGGGATGAGGATAGGGACTGCATCTGTGATTTCATTAGGATAGTAAACTCTCAAGTAAGGAAATTCCATCTCATTGCAATTTGGCACTTTCTCTGCAACTTGCAGTCTTGTCCAAAGTCCTGAAGCTAGCTGGCTCTCCATGGTCATACTGCCTCCCTTCATGCACTTAGTAAGTAAATACTTATAGTGCCATGTGTCTTTCCATTTGTTCTTTAGTTTACTTGTAATTTTGATTTTTCTGAGATTGTCAGGTCCTGTGACTCTTGATTATAATACATTTCCAGGAAAATATTGTTAAAGAAATGATCTTTTGTGTCAAGTGGCCATTTTGTCATCATTGTAAGCATAGTTCATTTTCTTAAAGTCACTTCATGTCAGTATCCTTATTGGATTACTGCTCTAGCTCACCTTTGATTTGCTTTCTTTGAGTTATCCACAGTATTGGGCTAATTTGATCAGCTCCCTGAACAGGTGCATGCCAGAGTCTGGGAAACAAGTATTTTTAATCCACTTGGTTTTTTCCTTGTGGATAGTTAAGGCTTATCTCTTACACAGT